AACCGTTCGATTGCAACTGGTAGTGCGTTTACCATCTCGACACGCAATTTCCGGGGCAGGCTGTAGTTACGCTTCAAGAGTCTGCATTTTAAACTTCAGCCAAGTTGCACAAGCACTTGGACGTAGTGGTTCCCTTGACGGTCTCTTGTGGAGGGGCAACGGGGTCGATGCTCACCAGGACATTCGCAAAGCTGTCCGGCTTGGGCCGTATTTGTGCGTGGCGAGGTTAAGCTGGATCATCGTTTCGTCCACAACCAAGGCAGAGCTGCAACAAAGCGCAACGTCGCGCTGTAAATGCAGCCATCAACAGTGACGGCGGATTGTATTGTACGTTATGTTTTACCCGGCATGTCCTGGTCACTCGTGTATTGGTTGCAGCAACTGCTGAACAACTGCAGTCTGGATGATGATACGTTGTAAGTCCGCCGGTCCATACTGGAGGTACAGTAAATCAAATACGGCGTGCAACTGATGCCACAGTGACTAGAGACACGTTGTCACGTAAATGCCACTCACATTTTTCTGGTTTTCTTGGCGGTATTACCTTGTGTTTCACAACAGAGCCAGCTTTGATTCGCTCAACTGTAACTGATTCCACTTTATTCTCAGGAGGTTATAGGATGATTGCGGACAAACATGCGGTTGTGGATGCTGGTCATTTTCTGTGGTTCCTGAGAGGTCTCAATGACAGTGCATCATCAGTTGCGTTTTTGCTCCGTTGCGGTATTCGCACCTAGAATCATATTCCTCTAACTGTTTTTTGCCGGGTGGGAAATCTGCCCTTCCGGTTTGTAGAAGTTCTGTGCAGACAAAAAACCTAATAAATAGATAACTAAAGACTAAATTCGCAAATGCATCGAGGCCCGTTAACTCAATCCTGAATAAAAGTTAAAGGCAAGTATGTTGTGCAACAGACCCGCTACAATGTAAGTAATTGGCTACGGCCAAAACAGGTAGAAATTGTAGTAACGGAAGAAAGCTTCATGTAGTGCGAAATTGTCAGCGTGGTGGCGACTAACTGGATTCATGTGTCCGTAGAATAAACACGAAAACACAGTAGATGCAGACTGACAGTATCTTTCTTGCATATGTCCATAAAAGAGTGAAACGTGGCTCTATTTCATACGCCAGCGGGTACTTGTGGGGCTCAGCAAATAACGGCGGAACAGCTTAATGAACTACTCAAAAGCAAGCATTACTTGTCGTGTAGTACAGTAGCTGCGCTCTCGTCGTGAGAGAGTCCTGCTGGTGTACACGCTTACTCTCTCTGTTCCGTACAATGTGTGTTGCGTCAACGCAGCTGGGATACTAGTGTCGCCGGCATCTGTGTTCACTCTGAAATGGCATGTTGTCATAAAAATAGCTTGGAAGTTCAGCAAAGGCGCTACGCGTAGAGTTCCTGTGCTTCTCGACGACTGCTACTGTGCATTCTCCAAGGTAAAGTTTTTATCTGCTTTCAGAAGGCCGTTCAAAGAAGCAGATTTGGGCCCGAGTCCCCGAACGAACTACCGGTAAGAAGATGCGGTGCAAAGAAAATTGCGCACATCGTCAACGTGCTCTAGAACGGCCACGAGCGAACCTGCTCCACTTTCCCTTTGAACACAGCACACCCCATACTTGGACACCGTGTGACTTAAGCAGCCCAACCGATATTTCATGAGTTGATAGCTGAGCGGTTGCAGTTTGAGCCCTAATGTTGTGAGTTGGATAGAATAGGGGCAAAGCTGCTGCTGTGTTGTCCCACTGCTCGGTTTAATACTATAATGTCGTCTTGATAAACTAAACTATGCTACGTTATTACTTCCCTCAACCCGGTATGCGTTAATAGCTGGAAATTAGCTGGTGAGTTGGTAAAGTCAAAGGGATTGGTCAGGTACACATAAAAACCTGATGAGACAATAAATACCGGTTTGCAGTGATCGTACGAGTGAAGTTTCTCCTACTAATTCGAATGCTATGAGTAAGTTGGTGAAACAACGTGGCTTGACATGGGCAAACATGTTGTCATCCATCCGAGGTAACGGAAAGAAATCTGTGGGTGCAACCGCGCTTAGCTCGTGGTACTTTTCGCATAATCGAAGCTCACAATCCTTCTGGTTTACTAAACATAGAGGAGACGCCAAGGGGTTTAGGTGGACGAAAAATGTCACGCCTTAACATTGCTGCTTTACCGCCATTTGATAATCCTTGATAGTGAACCGAACCACGCCTTGCTGCTTGACACCTTGCCTGGGTATTGGCTGTATCATTAAGGTGTTTTAGAGGTTTATCTCGTCCCAACTCGTCGTCCTTCCAAGGGAAAGCATGGGGCTATTTGCTTAAGACTGACTCTGCACTTTGTGGATATCTACCAGACCAGCAGGGACAGCGTAACGGTTAAGCGTTGCGTGGATTTCATTTAACTTAAGGGCTAACACAGGATACGTAGGTGGTGCGGTGCTTATTATCAGCTTGTTCTGTTTGACACTATTGCCAGTTAAATTAATTTATGCCTTAAAACGGGTACGTAAGGCTACTCCTGATACTACATCCTAAGAAAGCTTATTTAGTATGACAAAGCGATGGGTAACCGTGATGCGTCCTATTTACACTGAGAGCCATATTCCAGCCTAAGGTTTTAAGGGCGGTCACATTGACGACTACTAGGCTGACAGCACTCACCCGGTAAATTAAGATGTCTACTGGTAGCGCGGGTTTATGCATTAACGAGCGCGTGGCAATGGTATCGACCAGAATTTAGGCTAACCAACCTTGCAACAATCTAAACACAATAAGAGAGCTGCCTGATTAGCAGTAGAAATGGTGTGTACATTAAAAGAGTACGTTGGGGACTTACACCGACGGTGCATGCCCGCAACTGTACGCAGCAGTTGAAAACCAGCGGTAGCAATAACAGCTGCTGCTAAGCTTCTTGTATTGGACGCAATTGGGACGTCTATGCTTGCTGGTTTCGAGTTGCTGTCGCCGAAATTTGGGAAGGCTGCTTGGGCTTGGGAAGTTTCTGCTTCGTACGGCGAACCTCGGCCGGCCATGCTCACCGACCTAGCGCGCACACTCGCGCGAGACAATACCACTGGTCCATTCACGACGGTCCATTAATTCGATCACGTCATCTATTCTACTGGGCTGCAACTCCAGCAGCAACTTAAGCGCGTCATGGTTCTGCGTCACAAGCATGAGTTGTTGGAACACGCATACGTCTTCAGCCGGGTAACAGCATGCCGATAACCGCCGTAAAGACGCAACAAAGAAAACGAATTGAGCCCCCGATTTCTGTTGGCATGCGTGGTACGTTCTACAACGGTCTGATAGGACTACGGAGGTTACTCTAGCGTGTGCAGCCATGAAGATCAAACAGTCCAAGTAGACACGCGTTCACGATGAAGGACGATATGTTAAATGCCTTGCCGGAGAATATTTTAAGCAGACCAAGCGTATTCTCCTCCTCAGGTAATCGCATAACATATCAACGAGCATGCAGTTCCCATTGGTCGTAATTGCCACCGATGTAAAATTCTCTATGGTTGGTGGGAATGGGTCACTGTAAGGCGCAATTTTATGGCATAAATGACGAACTTAAGCACCAAGCGATTAGCCGAGATTATGCATACAAAGAAATATTGCTGATGCGGAACCTCTCCAGGAAGTTGTCAGTTGTCGCTTCCAGAAATAGGACGGGATTTTATCTCATTGTTGTTAGCGGAGATATAATCAAACCTAACTGAAAAGGATAATAACGTTGAAGTACGGCAGAAATTTGTAAGAAATATTAGTCCGGGAACTGGACAGGTCGCGAAATATGAATTACGCGTTCAGACGATGTTCGCGAGGAACTCTGCATCCATTGTTTAAAGAATGTCGTTGTCAACCGTATAGCTGTATAACAAAATAAATATTCCATAGACGGTAGAATGAAGTTATCACAACTAGTTTTAATTAGTGCTCCTACTAAGGAGATCTATTTTTCGTTGATAGAGGAACAAACGTGTGAGGAGCATGATAATAGAATATTGTAATAAAAAGCCAAGTTGTAACTTGAGCACCGGGTAATGTTGAAACAACGTTGCGCGTCCGTATGACCTTTCATACCCGGCGGCTTTTGGCCTTCATAAATAATCGCACTTCGTTATGTACAGGAAGGAGCAATAATTGTTGTGGGACCGTAGGATGAATGTCTGCATACTCGTTAAATCTCGAACTTCCGAGTTCAATATCAAAACTCGCGCCTAGTCGCTGCTGGTCTATCAGGATCATCGTAAAGGATCGTTAGTTGCAAATGATTAGGCAAGCAGAATATATGTGATGCTAAAGATTGATTGGTTTCCAATGGTATAATTTGTTTTCAATCGTTTTCATCATCTACTTCATTTCCAGGTCCATTTGACTGCGGTTACGATTGTGTTTCCACGAAATGACCCGCTAAAGTGTACCATACATATAAACACCATGTTATGATAAACTGTTAGTGTTCACGAGAAAATGAGAAGTATTTTATAGGTGGGGTTGTTTTGGCATTTACAGTTACCGACGTATACTTGCAAAACCTCTCGTTCATAAATTACGCTGTACGCATGATAGGTAGCGATGATCCATTTTTTCCCAAATGACAAAGTAGCTGGCAGTTTATTACTCGAAAAATATATGCAATTACCACGCAATTTACCAGAGCGCTAAATAACTGGAGACTATCGTCATTATTTAGGTATTTGACAAATATAACCGCATAATAATTAGTAACAAAACGACTTGGTTACTGGAAAGACACGTAGAACAATAATAATAATAATAATAATAATAATAATAATAATAATAATAATAATAAATATAGTTTGCTTGTATCTAAAAAGTAGGAGAATTAAACTAAGGTTTCCTTTAATTGTCGTTCGCCGACAGGAAGTATAAACAAAACTCCTGTGGCCAAGTTTGTTTAGGGTCCTGTGTTTTAATGAACCAGCTAATTATTCAACATGACCTCACGCACAGTAAAAATATAAAAGTTACGTGCACTAACTTTAAGCAGTTTTCGTGCGATAAGTTTGCATGTGGCATTTTGAGTATTTTTCACTTGGTGTCTCGTTTTCTATACCATATGTCGAGTAAGTAATACAGTGACCGTAGACCTATGTAATGTAGTAAGTTTGTTATTGCTGCCCTAGGAGAGGAACTGTTCCCTTCCAAAACTTTGATTTACAGTCGTGTAAAGTATTCGGCTAGTGTTAGATTACATCTTTCGCTGATGTGTAATTCGTTTTATTCACCGTTCTATTATATTAAATACGTTTATTTAAAGAGCAATCCTTGTTTCACAGAGCCTGTGAAATCCTTCAATTACCTGTAACCCTTGATGAATTTCTTAACCATGGTTTCCATGACATGACTACAGAGTCATCTAAACCTATGTTGATATTTCACTTTCATCGTTGCTTTTACTTAGGAAATTTCCTTGTGTAATTAAATGTACAGTTAATTGATTACATGCAATAAATGTGTTGCTGCCTTTCGTTAGTATGAATAATAGCTCGAGGAATTTTGAGTTGGTTACCTGGCTTATTTGAAAGTACCACAATACCTCTTACCGCTCCGTGTCCAACCCCACTTGTTTATACACAAGTACCTACCTGTTTTACCACTTGCCATAAATTTCGTTAAGGAAACTGAGTATGCGATGGTTGAGCTTCATAAATCGGCCGTTTCACTGGTCATAAAATGCGGTTTTCTTCGATGACTGCAAGTTCAGTGGGTCGTAAAGTGTTTCCGTACCTACAACTTGAAGTTTTACGTTACTTTGGCCGCCTTCGCAGTTATTTTGGAACTAAGTTATCAAAAATTCTCTAGGATTTTTACGTGACATCCAATCGCTTTCGATCAGCGAGTCAGTCATTTTAAGCGACAAATTCGCTCGGGATCTCGAGTGAGACGTAAAAGCTCTTGGGTCTAACTAAGAAAGAAGGGCGAGACGTTGACTACGGCACTATTCTAGTAGTACTTACAACACGATAGGTAAATACCTCAGAAATACCCGACTAGTTCCGAAACAACCGGCCTTCACAATGAGCAAAAGAAATGCAACTAGTACTTGCAACCGTAATGTAGCCGCACAGGATACCGAATCCCCTATAAGACTATACCCTTTCTTATTAAGTCCGTCCACCCTTGGTTCGCTATACAATGTGGAAAACGGAATGCGATGGCCTGAGATGTTGAGGTGACTTGTCACAGTCAAACAGTGGGGGTTCGAGGACCATGAATGTGCGTACCACTTGGGCAGGCGGATGTTTCATGCCTGAGGTGTGTGGGCGGGGTGGTCATGACGGTTTGCACAGTGTAAGCGAACGGCCTCGACAGTAAGTGGTGAAACTATGTTAACATCGATATGAGTTCACATGGAGATAATCGGTAAGCCGGCCCTCATTAATTGGGGCACGCGTCTGCTTTGTCGTCCAGACTGTGCTCGTGGCATGTGGCTTGCTAATCACATAATAGGTATGTTGCTCGGCATGTAAAGACGGCACATAAATTTGGTGAGTAGATAGGTTCGATCCTGTTATTAATCTCGTGGATTACATGACACTTAGGTCGGGAGGGCAATTAACTATGGGGCATAGAGTGGGTAAACCAACAACAGGTGGTGCTCCAGAATTAGCTGACGTCATCCATCTTGTGCATTACGTGGGAAATTTACCGCCTACAATATTTTATTACCTTTTGTACTCTACATATTTAGTGCTCTATTCAACTAAGGTCTGGGCTTGTATGCCGAGTGATTCCAATTGTGGGTTAATCAAGGAGGATTGCTATCCACATCACTATCAGCTGTAAACAGGACGGTTAAATTGGACGTCGTTCTTGCGGAAGATATCTACGTACAAGTCGATCGCCTGCTGCCAGCTGTATTTTAACTCAGATCCCGCATTGTTTTGCACAAAAATGCGTGTGCAATTTGGAGAGCCTCCGAAACGAAAGCATTGTGTATGCTAAAAAGAGTTTAATTGCTCCATAGGCTGTGTTCAAACACCAACTATCATTGACAAGCAAATTAGCCTGTGTTCCGCCAATAATCTTATACACCATCGGAACCTCTCCCAGCATATCGTGATGAATTCTGCTTTGTTAGTTTCTTAGTCAAGTTAACATCCTTCAAATTCTTGAAGCTCTGAGCGACTTTTGGCATTGTTCTATTACTTCCGAAGTCTCCTAGTAACATCAGACCATACGATGCACTTCTCCACAGTGTTAGCTAAACACTCAATTGGAGACTTTGCAGTGGTCGAGAATTTTTGTAATCCATCTGTGCCTTGGAGATGAAAGACGCTGCTGCCACTGGAAATATTCGCAGCTTATTCTAACTCATTCGCTCCACTGGGCACATTAGTCAGTACTTGTTCAAGCTTTCAAAATATTTTTCGTACTTCATTCTCTAATTAGAGATGGATCAGTCTGGCATTGGTTGCCATTAAGATACTAAAATCCACCATGCTCGGCAGTCTAGCCACAACGCGTACTACACACTAACGGCAAGAGCGGGCTGTTCCTTACTTCTTTCAGGGATAAGGAAGTCTAATATTTACAACTCATCAGCTCTTACAGTATAGTCACCTCTACTGCAAACCCACCATTGTTGCCTTCCTGAATATTTGGGCTACATTCCAATTAGTAGATTGACCCTCCTTAAAACGACCACTGCTAAAAATAAAGCTCCTTTAAAGTACGGCTGTATACTTTGGGCACTGTAGCATACTTCAGAAAGGATTAGAGCCGGTGCCAACCTTACAGCCCTCCTTCCTGTCAGCAGTGTTGCGCGACAAGGATGCCATAAGTCCCCGGTGGGGGGGGGGAAGTTCTGTAGCGTTTTGGTGTTGAATATTCAGGTAAGCACGCAATTGAATAAATTACGCTAATGATATCGCTAGCTTGGTAATAACTTGCTTATTGCGTTAGTGATGTTAAACGACTGGTAGTTAAAGCGTCTAAGTATGATATATATTTTGCCATCTCTAAGCGCAAAGCGTTGTTGCATAATTTCCAATCACTCCTTCTTCAATTTATTATCGAAGGCGTACGGCGTGAACACGTGGACAGTTTTGTCTACTTATGTTGCTGCAGTTCCGACGACGACACAGCCGAAGGATGCGTACTATTGTATGGCAAAAGCTCGGTTGGGGTTTACAAACTTAAGACATTTGCCGTGTCGTCGCGACATTTCTTTTCCGTTAAATGGCAGTGTCCGAGCGGTACTGTTTTGAATTGATGCGAATCTTGACCGTATCATGTTAGTAACATGTGTAAGCTTTCAGACTTTGACGTTGGCTGTTTGTGAAAGCCCAACCTGTAAGGTAGCAAATCTTATGTGTAATGTAATGTCAGACACCGCGTCCTGAGCAAGCCGGGTCTCCAAACCTGTGCTCTTGTGCTGCTACGCCAATTGAAAGGGATTGGTTGACTCCCATGCATGAATAATGAGCGTTTACTGCACCGCGCCCTAATTGCGCTTACAAGGCTGTATTGGAAGAGGCGTCGTAGTGGTAAGCCGAATACTGTAACAATTGCAAATAATTTGCTTATTTTTCTATTTTCTGGCTTACCTATTTCGCTGCAGTGGTTGTACCACTTGTTTTAATTAACTAGATAGATATAACGATTGGTTTTGAACTCGTCTTCCGTGGTTCTTCCTTGGTTGCCACTGGGTTATTGTGATTCTGCGCATTGCTGCTTGCTTGATTCACGATCGGAATCTACGACACGTACACTTCGACATACCTCGCTATCTACGGTCCTCTGACGCTAAGGTGCATCAGGACATTTTATATGTGAGGCGAACCTGACTGGGTATTCTCCTTTACCGGTTCCTCCGTATAACAGTTAACCCCCGCATTTTTATTTATTTTTGTGCACAATTTTTTATTTTCATCACAATGTCCGATCATGCGCCCGTCATTAATGCGTCGGGACATTACCTTGGACAAGTTTTACCTTCATTTGACGTTTCTAACCCACGCGTTTGGTCTATTCAAGTAAAAGCTGTTTTTCGTTTTCGTAAGATTACATCCCAGTTCACTACGTTTTCATACGTGACTGCTCACTTACCGTTCAACATCTCTAATGAGATCATCGATATTCTGAATCATGTGCCCCTAGAGTCCTTCTATGATAAAATTAAGGCATCCATATTAAAGCGCAATACAGCGTCAGACGTGACACGCCTTCATCAGTTACTCTATGGAATTGGGCTTGGAGACAAAACGCCAGCTCAGCTACTCCGACGCGCGTTCCATCGTTGGTTCTTCCATACTGGATTATTCCGTTCTCCACCAATTATGGAGTAATTTTCTTCCGGCAATACGGCGGCTATTTTAGCTGTTCTGGCCGACGAGCTTCCGCTAGACAAACTGGCAGAAGCTGCCGATAAGGTTCATGAACGCTTTATTAAAACGTCGGTATCCCACGTCACTGAGACTAACTCAGGCAACTCCTCCGGAACGACGCTACTTGCTTCAATCAACGTGAGACTTTCTAACTTAGAGCTCACGTTGTCCCATCTCAGACGTAACCGCGTTCCTTCGTGACGATCAATTTCTCGATCCAGACATCCTAGCAACTCTGGTACACGACAGTCGCACGGCTGTTGTTACTATCACAACCGCTTCGGAGAGACAGTGCGTAACTTCCGTCCAGGGTATAAACACCCTAAAGCCTTTTTAACTCCTACGTCGGGAAACCACATGACCAGCCAGTAATGGCGGAGGCTGTCGCATGCCAGGTTATTAGTCGCCTGTTGTACGTATTTGACTCCACAACTTAACTTCGCTTTTTGGTCGATACTGGTGAAGAAGTCAGCGTTCACCCCTGTTCTCTGGAAAAACGCCTCCTGCAACCAGCTGGTCTAATACTTACTGCAGCTAATCAGACTAAAATCCCGACATACGGCCAGAAATTACTTACTTCTAGCCTGGGACTACGGCGTAACTTCCCTTTCATTTTTACCGTCGTCGATGTGAAAAAGCCTATCATCGGAATCAATTACCTCAGCAAGTTTGGTCTTGTGGTTGTCCTACATTGTGGAAAATTACGAGACGATACTACGTCTTTAAGCACACCA